GAAATCATATTTTCACCTTTCAATTGCCCTTAGATATCCAATCAACATTCAAACAAAGCCAATGGAACAAGCTTCCATATTTGATTCTTTCAAAAAGACTGAATCTCTTCACTTTAATATGTTTCAGAAATGCATGCAACACTCTCGGACGGAGATATTGTTGTTAGAACAACCATATGACATGATATCAAAAGCGTGAAGAAAGATAAAAAATATGAATTTTTTTTAACAATAATGGAAGAATGATTACGACAAATTTGAGAGAAATATAGACCTAAAATTATAAGCATCGGAGACTCACAGTTGAGAAGAAGATGAAGAGTTGCTTCTGTGAGAAGAAGACGAAGAGTTGCATGTAGAAATGGCGTTGCATCTTTTTTGTAAGGGATGAGAGTGTTAATGGATGCTTCTAGAGTTCTGGAAAGACAATTACCCATACTCTTTGCGTATAACTTCACACTTATTTTAGGCTATATTTATAATTATGCCCTTGGTCGTCCTATCTTCACACATCTATATATTATTACTAGATAACTGAAGGCTTGTTCATGGGCCCAATATAATTGATTATCTTTACAGTTTTAATTTTTTTACATCTAAATTCACATACTATTTTAAAATAATTTCTACAGTTTTCTAGCATTTAAAAAAAATTACAAAAATTCCCTATCAGGTACATCTCTTTCCTCTGTCAGATACATAACTATCTCCTCTCCAATACATACATATCCTCTCTCGAATACATCTGTGTCCCCTCTTCAATACATCTCTATCATCTCTTAGATACATCTCTCTCCTCTCGGGTACATCCATATTCCCTCTCAAATATAGGTCTCCCCTCGCGGATTCATCTGTGAGCTATGTGTCTGCAAGTTTACTGAATGACAATGTATCATGACCGATGTATCCGCATGTCTGCTGATAAATCTAAATTTTTAATTCTAAGCTATTTTTTGTAATTTGAAAAAAGAATGGAGATATAATGTAATTAACTCTTAAACTATGAAAATTTATATCATTTAACTTTAATTTATGTGACATATTTTTCTCAGTAGTCAATTTCAAAAGAATGATGTATTAGTTTATTTAATAACATTTTGACTTTTAAATGTACATTTTATTCTTAATAAGAAGATTTATAATCATATAACATATGACATCTTTGGTTTGTTTAAGACCACCAATTTTAAAAGTATTTTTTTTTATAAAAGAAGAACTTCATTTTAAGTCAAATAAACATTATATAAATCAAATGGAGTGAGTACAAACTTTCATGAAGTTTTTCTTTTTAAACTATTTTGTTGTTTAACAAAATTTAAAACGAAAATGATATACATTTTTCACAATTATGTTTTATAGTTTTTTAACTCAATATCTAGTCTATAATAACCAAAATTTTAATATAAATAAGGTGATAGAGTAACTTAATTTTAAAATTCAAGTATTGATATTAATTGAGAAAATATTTATTTATAAATTGTAAAGCATTCATAATCTAATATTTAATATGCTTCTCACTCTAAACGAATGACACTAATTTATCATAATTCAAGATTGTAAGAAGTAGAAATCAAGACTAAAAAGTGTAATTCACTATTATATGAAGGTCAATCCGTAGTTTATCTATTGTGGAAGTTTTCTAAGTATATGATATATAATTATGTGACAAAATAATTTTACACTAAAAAAATTCAATATATTATTTAATAATCTTTTTCAAATGTTCATACAACATAAATGCGTCGTTTACAATCCAAATTGAGAAAGTTAAATTCTACAAAAATCTATGCAGTAAGAAAATAGAAAATTGCATTAGATTATGAGTTGTTGATATCTTTGAAAAAAGATCATTGATCTTCATATATTTTGCAAAGTGGTATCTATTTTCTACAATATTAGCATCTTCTTTTTGTAATACTTGTTCCATAAGCTTCCATATGATAAAATACTAATCATTGATCAATCAATTCATTAAGATCGATTCAAAGCCTTTCAAATCTCTACTGCTTCAACTTATTTATAATGTATTTTTAGTTTGCTTTGTCAGTGAATTTTGTGATACATTTCATTATTGTCTCCTATAATAGAAATACTTCTATTTATTTTGGTATTAATATTGAAAGTATTTATTAAAAACTTGATTTCTAACTTCTACAAATAAAAACAATCATGAAATCAAATTTATTTCTATATACAATAACAATTATCATAATGTTATATTCTAATATTGAGAATATTTATTAATATATTGATTTCTAACTCCACAAAAATAAAAACAATCATGAAAGCATTTTATTTCTATATAAAATAACAATTGACATAATGTTATATTCTAAATTACATTAATAATTTTTTTTGATACTACACTCTTGATATAATATTGTAAAAGAAACTTTGAATCTTACCCCCCACAAAAATAACCAATATTTTGTTTTTTTTCAAGTTATTATTCTTTTTTTCTTCCTCTATATTTCTCAAGCCCTTTTCTATTGACATTTTTTTAAACTACTTATTCTTCTTTAGTTTGTGTTTTAATATTTCCAAGAATTTGAATATTAGTTTTTTCTATTGTCAAATTCTGTCAAATGGTTTATCATATTTGATATAAGAAAATATTCTGTATAAATTTTCCCTGTTAAATAGTGAAACATTGTTCTTTATTCTAGTCATGTAAATATAATTTTATATATTTTCAAATTAATTAAAAATATTGATTCTTCATTTTAAAGATTATTTTATTAATCAAGATACGAATTTAGTAATCATATTCTGTAACAAATATTAAAATTATGTTGACGCAATAATTCTTTAAAGTATTTTTAGGAACAAAAATATAACTATTCAAACACATTTTATTTTAAATTTGTTTAAAATTTTCTTTCAAAAACATGTCAAAACAAGCTTAGCATTTATTATTTTTTATAAAGAGTTAATTAATAGAAACTCTTCATTTTGACACAACTATAAAAATATATATATGGATAAATTTTAAAAGTAAAGACATGTATTGATTCTTCTAGATTTTCATTTTGGTCATTAATGATACAATTATTATTTCACCCTTAAATAATATAAAAATTACTAAAATGTCATTGTTTAATAGATTTTGCTTTAATGAGAATTTCACACACAAAAAAAATCTATGGAATATGTGGGTCCAAATTAAATATCAAATCATTAGGATACACATGTCATTTAAATTTTTTTTGGTTGTATTGTTATTATAAATCTATTACCACCTTTTTTTATGTCATAACATAAAAACAAACATTCTAGAATATTTTGTGAAATGACAAAATTGTCCTTGATCATCCTTAACTTGACTCTTCTATATAATAGAAATAAAAATTATTATTATTATTATTATGATGATGATGATAATGATGATGATGCGTTCACATAGACTCTAAACAATCATAAAATGGTAAGAACAATCATAAGCTCACAAGCACTGACATAATTACTTTTCTAATACTTTCTTTAATATACTTGCAAAATCAAACCCAAGTATATACCTCATTAGCTCATTAGTTCCTATAAACCATCCTATGATACATGATCAACAATATATATTTCTGCCTATGTTCGTACTTTGCACCATGGACACATAAATCACATTAAGGTAATGTAAATATGGTTCATTGCCAGAAATATTCGCTGCTTTGCATTTTTCAATAACTGGTTGCGTATTCCAAAAAGTGAATAAGAGGTTAATATTTTGAAAAAGAAAACATTAAACCAATAAAAATTAAAACACATTTTAAAATAAGATAATTATATAGAATGACAAATTAATAATTTAAAATAAATACAGTAGCTATCGTTTGATTTATTTATGTTCCATAGCAAACTGTTTGTTGATCACCTCTCTCCCTCATATTCTCGCTCGTCACTCTCCCTCTCTCGCTCGCTGTTGCTCGCCTCTCTCGCTTTACAGAATAGAAATGTATAGATTGTGTTTCTGTTTGTATAAATCGAGAGAAAATTGTATATACACATGCAAATACATATATCACCGTCCTATACACGTATAATTATAGAATACAAAACCATGCCCAAGTGTCTTTTGCTTTTCTCTCTTTCTCGTTTTATACAAATTCAAATTGTATATAATTTCTCTCTTTCTCGTTTTATACGATTCAATTCAATTTTATATTAACTGCCCAAGCCTCTTTTGTCTCTCTCTTTTTCATTTTATACAAATTCATAATGTATATAATTTCTCTCTTTCTCGTTTTATACAATTCGATTCAATTGTATACAAATCAATTTTTCTACAAATATACAAACACATGCAATTGAATTGAGAGACTAACAACGATTTATACAAATGAGAAGCTAACGACAATTTATACAAATGACCTTCAGCGAAATTATACAAAGCTAAAGAGGAACCAACCAATTATACAATTGTTTCTTTGCATATCTGTATAGCGAAATAGGAATAGCTTTCAGTTGTATATGTATAGCGAATTATACATTTGTTATGGAGAGCAATTATGTAAACTTTGCTATAACATACAAATTTGAATTTTGTGTTTGTTAAATGTGAAAATTGTTCTTTTAAATATAATATGGTAGAAAAAGAACATTTGTGTGTGAGAGAGAGACAGGAAGCGAGACAACTTATTAACTCAAGTCAAGAAGCAGCGAAAAAAAATACTTATATACCCAATAATCAAGTTATATTCCTTTAGAGGGACTCGAGGAGGGCACGAAGTCAATAAAGGCCAACAATCATCACTACAACTTAAGTATGCATCGAAAATTTAATTCTTTCTCAAATCAATATAGGATCCTTTCATCATTCAAGGATAAACCAATTATGAATTCCTTACTTATTTTTCTTTGATAAGCTAATGATAACAAGCAAAAACTATATGGAGATGTCGGAAATTAATGCAAACAATGCATAAAAATAATTTATCACACATTGAGTTCCTTATAGTATCATATGTTGCAACCAAATTGTCACAAAATAGTAGGTGAAAACAAGCATGTGCAGGAATAAATTAACGAAGAGACTGTCATACCATTCCCTCAGGGGCTAAAGTGATGATTTGATACCGGTCCATCTAGAATGTCTAAAATAAATTAAAACAAGCTATGTAAGCACTCCATGCAATATTGAATTGTTTGGTGTTAAAGAATGACACAGAAAAAAAAAGAACAGACCATGATTTTCTAGAGCAGTAGATGAGTATGATATCAATTCCTCACCCGTGCTTTTATCAACATTAAAAGTCGTATCAAGTGATTCATCCTGTACATATTTCAATGCTAAAATGACAATTTTATGATTTAAGTCAGTCTATCATACTCATAAAGGTACCAAGAAAACCATGAATTGTCATTATACATTTGAAAAAGATCCAGATTAATTTCTTGAAAAGTTATTCCACTATATGAACTACCTTCCAAGAGACATCTCTTTCACTTTCTTATTCTTTTTCTAGGAAAAGCTAACCAGTAAGATATCACTAATTTGATACACCAAGGAATCTACTTAAATAGACACAAATTAGGAATGTAGACCAACAGTAATCCACTTCTCACGAAGAGAAAAATTTATATTTTCTACTCCTTTGTTCGCTTAGATATAAGGAGCACACCGGTCAGTATTCAAACAATCGACTTTAGTCATCAAATTCATTTTCCCAAGTTTGAAAAAAATTTCCTGTAGTTAATACTTATTAGACTTACATCAGAATTTTCTTGTAAATTAGAAGTGTGCAATAACACTACAAGCATAAAAAAGCTCAACTTAGAACACATGTTGTGTCTACTTTTTTTCTTTTTCTTTTTGGAAAAACTAATAAATCCAACAGCAAAAGAAGCAAAATAACACACACATATACAAAAAGTATATCAAATGTAGACAAACTTACAAAAGATATATTTTATGAATACATCCGATCTTCTATACATATATAAGAACCTTGTGAGTGCAAAAAACATAGATAAGGGATAAGGAACTATTCTTCAAGTGTGCAAAATTCATCTCTGCTTCATTAAAAGTTTTATCAACATAGTGATAAAGGAGCAACAATCTCATGTTTTGCATTGTTTCCCCCTCTTCCAAAAGTCCAGCTAAACATTGTTTCTTTCACACTACTTGACATCACCAACTCTTTACCATAGATTTCAATCTTTCCCTTTCAAAAAACAAATTAAGTATAGAGGTGAAAAGTATAAAGACGATACTTACAGGAATAATTGCATTGCATTGTTCTTGAGTTGTGATCCTCAATTTCTCAGTTGCTTATTCAATCATAATTTTCATATGATAAACCTTTTTTTTTCACAAACTGGAACAACTATTTCTCATTACCTTGAAAATTGCTTGTGAAACTTCCATAATATTGCACACAGGCTTCAGGACTGGTCAAAGAAGCATAGACATTAAAATATAGAAAAGATCAAGATCTCCAAGGGAACAATGCAAGAAGTGTTAAAACAACAACAAAATCCATGCCTCAACATATGTACAATGTGTCCACATTTTAAAGCTAACACAACATGTTTTTTGTTTATAAAGTAAGTTGAGAGTTCATATATTTCTTATATCTCTATAGGCACTAAAAACATATTTAAACTTGAACTTATTCTTCATACTGTCACATGCCTGATAAGTAGCAAAATAAATTTATGGAAGAACAAATGAAGCAAACTTCCCTAGCAACATAAAATGCTAAGTTTTCCAACATTAACCACTTGTTTGCATATCCAATGGCAAGTGTGTTGCCTAAACCACCTTTATTAGTTACAATTGTTATGATTGGAACTCTCAGCGCAAACATTGGCCTTAAATTGGGGCTATTTACTCACTCTACATGAAAATAATGGAAGTGATTATAGATTCTACATGACCAAATGAAACCTAATAACGCAATATTTGAAAGTCAAGCTAAAGAATCACACCTGATCCAGCTCTTCAGGTTTTAAATCAGCAAAAACCCTGGAGTGTCAACAAATGTAACAATAGTAAAGACACGATGATCAACATATTTCATCATTCTCAAAGCCTTTCTTTACCTGCAAGGCTAAGATCTAGTAGTTATCAATTCATTTTTTTACAAAACTAACCTTGAGGTATCAAATTAAGCAATATTTCTTTTAAACAACTGACCGCTATATAGACTCTCCAAAAATCTGATAACCTGAGCAAAAGTCAAACTGGGAACATGTTGAGAAGTTATGAGCAACAACTTCAGCCTATCAGCTTGTTGCTTAGTTAATGTAAAAATCAGTTCAAAGTGACCTATTATTAACCACAGAACAGATTACTTGGAATGTTTAATAATAAAAATTTGTAATAATGCTATGAAAGAGAATTTTTAAACCGTACCCATAAGGGATTTTCATTGCAAAGTGGATGACCAATGAAGAGATAACTTCTACCTTCAATGCTCCCAATATCACTCACCGTGGCTGGATCATCATAGCCATCACGATCTCCATGAACTCTACCCACTTTATTCATAATATAGGGTAAGATTGCTCGAGTTGCACTGTCAAAAAAAACTGCTAATACTATAATGAGCAGAAAAAAAAATCAACAGACATATCTTCTCCATCATATTTAGTATATGAACTTGAACATTTGGTCTATTAGGGTGTTGACCAATTTGAACTCGTTGGATGGGTATCAAATGAGTGTACAAATCCCTTAGGCTCTGACAATATGCCATATGTGTCGAATGGAACAAAAAGGTGTTGGCCAAATAATAATATTTCATAGGTATCACCACAATAAACATATTTCCTTCACATAATAAAGGATACTATATGTAAGTAGGAAAATTCTCATAAGTTGGTAACATACAAGAAAAACAAATTTTAATTTACCTCTTTAAAATTAGAGTAGTTCAAACCAACATAACGTATGATAAACATACATACATATATAACCAATTACTTATTACAAGAGCCAGGTGAAATTTTCTATTCAAAATATGAATGTGTACTAAAATATTAGTTATTTCAATATTTTTCATCTTAAACAAGATCTTAAAAATTGAATCATTAATACAAGAAATAAAATTAAGAACATGCGCAAATGAAATTAAAAAAAAAACAGAGAATTAACAAAGGGATCAACGCATGTAGTGTTAACATGAGAAGTGGTATAATACCAAGTTATGGTATAACTCAAAATATTCAAGGGATTTAAAGGAGTGCACGAAATCCAAATTACTTAAAGTGTAAGCGAAGTATGATTTTTTCTATTTTAGACATTTTCTCAAACACCTGGTGCACGTCAAAAATCTTTCAACAGAAAAATCACATATGCATACTCCATTAAATCTTGCTACAAGTGAAAAATAACTTAGTCTCGTCTTAGTGCGGAACAAACACATGAAACAGATTCAATTTCAATATATTGCTGGTTGAACATTCGCTGAAGAAATAGAAATATCTGTAAACTACAAATTAAATAGAAGAATTAACAAAATAAAGTAGAGGTTAACCCAAAAAATGTATCTTATGCTCTTCAATTTTTAAGCTTTGCCTATTTTTGTGGGCATTGTTTTCATCAGAGTTGAAATGAATTTAAAAATAAAAATATCAGTTAGCAACCAAATCCAAACTCACCAAGCAACTACTTTCGAACAAATTGTAAACTCCACCACACGCTTTATTTTAGCTCTAGATCCATATACCAAATACCCCCATACAACAACAAATTAGCAAATCGATGAACTCTAGTTTTGATTCATGAAAAATAATAATAAAGAATTGGACAAAAAAATAAAAATTGACAGACCTAACTGTTAAGTTCAGTAACTGAACAAGCAAAAACTTAGACAACAATGAAGAAGAAGAATTTCATTGACATGAAAACTGTAACTACAACTGAATGAAAAATATCTGATATGATATTTAATGAACACCTATATATACAAAATAATCAACTCACTAACTGTCTAACAAATTGCTAACTAAGTTAATTATTAGTCAATCATTAATTGACAGTTGTACGCTTTATTAACTACTCAACATCCTAGCTAGGTGTATGAAAAACATTCTTCATTCATAGCTTGGTAAGAAGATACAAGTGTTTGTTGAATCCTTTCCATTTTTTAGTCAACTTTAGTTATTCAATTGGTACAAATAATTGTTAAAAAGGAATATTAATTGTAGTTGAAATTAAAAGATTTGATAGTTGGCAAATTGGTAAGATGTGCAACCATTCTTGACATTGCTATATTTACATATGTCATTAGTGACATAGGCATGGTTATCCTTCTATAAATAGAGAATTCTTGCTCATTTGTAGAATACACCAAGTTAGAGAGAAAAACCATTTTGAGAGCAAAGTGAGGTATTCCATAGATTATACAAGAAAATAGTCTGTGAAGAAAAATAGAGTGTGAGCAATATTTTAGTAAGACGGAAACCAAAAGAGTGTTGTTCCTTTTGAGTGTGCAGTAGTCACTTTGAGTATTGTATTCGTGACTACACAATCTAAAATTTCTTACTATAGTAATATCAATTGCTCCTCTTGACCAGTGGTTTTTTCCCTTATTTAGAAGGGTTTCCACATAAAATTCATGGTGTCATTATTTTTTCATTTTATTTCCATTACTTTTACCATAAATATTTTTGTGCTCGTTAGCTTTTTCCCAATAAACTGGTATCAGAGCTAAGGTTTTATTTGAGTATGCTCTGTGGTTGCAGTACAGTCTGAACTTCCACATCAGAAAAGATTTACTTTGATTTGCGATAACTGTATTTTTGGGGAAAACAATGGAAGTTAACATAGGTTGAATGGTTACTTTGAATGGTGTTAATTATGTCATTTTAAAGGAAAAAATGGAAGATCTGCTTTATGTTAAAAAAAATTACAAACCAGTATTTACCAGTGTAAAGCCTGATAATTAAATTGATGAAGAGTGGAATATGTTTCATAGACAGGTTTATAGATTCATTAGGCAATGGGTCGACGATAATGTGTTGAACCATATTTCTGGGGAAACACATGCTCGAACCCTATGGGAGCATCTTAAAAGTTTGTATGCTCGAAAGACTGGCAACAAAAAAATGTTCTTAATAAAGCAGATGTTGAGTTTGAAGTATCATGATGGTTCTCCAATGACAGACCATTTGAATAATTTTCAGGGGATTATGAACCAATTATCTGCTATGGGCATCAAATTTGATGAACAAATTCAAGGCTTGCTTCTACGTGGTTCCCTACCAGATTGTTGGGAAACATTTAGAACGTTATTGTCAAATTCTGCTCCGGATGGTGTGATCTCTATGGATTCCGCCAAGAGTAGTGTCTTGAACAAAGAGATGAGAGGAAAAACTCAAGGGTTCTCTTCATCGGATGTCCTGATAATTTGCCCCAGGGGGAGAAATAAAAGTCGTGGTTCTTAGCATAGAGAAAAAAATAGGAAAAAAATCCAAAGGCAGACTTAAGGATATTGAGTGCTATCATTGTGGCATGAAAGGGCACACAAAGAAGTTCTGCAGGAAGTTGAAGAGGGAGAACAAAAACAAAGAGGAAACTAAAGAAGATGGCAAGAAAAATTGCCTAGCCACCGCCACCACCGAAGATCTTGTTACCGTTCTTGATGCAAACATGATAAATATTGCTTGTGAAGAGTCGAGTTAGGTTGCGGACACTGGTTCCGCATCTCATGTGACATCAAGGAAGGATTTTTTCTCTTCCTACACTCGTGGTGATTTTGGAACCTTGAGTATGGGTAATGAGACTGTTTCTAGGGTGGTTGGTATTGGTACAATTTGTTGGAAAGCTAGTGCTGGAACTAAAATAGTTTTGAACAATGTGCAACATGAACCTGATGTTCGTCTGCACCTAATTTTTGTTGTTGTTTTAGATGATGAAGGATATGTTAGTACCAACGATAACGGAAAACGGAAGCTCATTAAGGGTTCCTTGGTTGTGGCTCGTGGTAACAAATGATGTGGTCTATACTGGACTACGGCCTCTACTTGTGTTGATATGGTGAATGCGGTTGAAAGCGATAGCTCTTCAACATTATGGCACAAGAGGCTTGATATACCGTGGTTTCACGGTATAATTAATACCTTTTCCTTAAGTTTATTGTGTCCGAAAGCCTTTTTGTGCTAATTTTGATATAAGTTTTTCTTTGTTTTGCAGGAAATC